ATATATGTATGTGTATGTGTCTGTGTGTGTGTATTTTATTCACATATCTTTATTTCTTATTATCTGTGTGTTGTTGTCTCTGTGTACTGGAAGCTTCTGTCACCAGAACAAATTCCTTGTATGTGCAAACATACTTGGCAATAAAGCTCTTTCTGATTCTGATTCTGATTCTCTTTATTTGCCACTATAAATGTATTTGTACTCATGCTTAATACAGTTTTTACTTTCAGATGCGCTTTCTGTTCCTCTCTCACCCTCTTCCTCTGTCACTGTCACTGTCTCTGTCAGAGGGCCATGCGTGTGAGGAGCCACTCCATGGAGACGATGGTGACTCAGAAACACAAGAGTCCTGGAGTGACGGCAGGGGTCCCGTCCAGTGTCAGCGGTGGAGGACTCCAGCAGAACAGCGTGGAGTGCACCAAGAGCACCTTCACTGTACTTCCATTATTCTCTTACTTTCATTTATTCAGATTAAATTCTTATCTCATCCAGTGTATAAACATCCTGAAGTAATTTATTATTATAATAGTGGTGCAGCAGTGCATGAGCTGATCTTTGTGTGTTTGTTTTTGTCAGCCTCCAGTGCTGTCTGCAAAATCTCCATTAATGAGTCCAGTAAAGCGGCGCTCTGGTCTGTTCCCCAGACTGCACTCCAGCACAGAAAGTCCAACTGAGAAACATCCAACTCGCAGGTAAACAAAAATGCAAAAATTTTTACATTTACAGTTATATACTGCATATATTTTTGTACACACAACAATGTGCAAAAGACTATACACTGCGGGTCTCACCCAGGCTTATTTATTTGATCAAAAATACAGTAAAAATCAAAACAGTAGTATTGTAAAATATTAATACAATTTAAATGTTAAAATAACTTTCAATTTGAATGTATTTTGTATTATAATTTATTACTGTGATGCAAAAATTGAATTTTCAGCATCATTGCGCCAGTCTTCAGTGTCACACGATCCTTCAGAAATCATTGTAATATGCTGATTTGCTGCTCAAGAAGCATGTCTTATTATTACCAATGTTAAAAACTGTTTTTGCTGCTTAATTTTTTTGTAAAAACCATTATGCGCTACCATTCAAAAGTTTGGGGTTAGTATAATAAAAGAAGAAATAAATTAATACTTTTATTCAGCAAGGACACATTAAATTGATCAAAAGTGACAGTAGAGCATTTATAATGTTACAAAAAAATTATATTTCAAATAAATGCTGTTCAATGACCTTTCTATTCATCAAAGAATCCTGACAAAAATATTAAGCAGCAAAACTTTTTTAACATTGATAATAATAGAAACCATTATTAATAATTAAGCACCAATAATAACCAAATCAGCATATTAGAATGATTTCTGAAATGTCATGTAACACTTGTAAGACTTGAGTAATGGCTGCTGAAAATACAGCAGTGTTTGTCTGTGAAAACCTAGTTTGTATGTTAGTATTTCAGAAAAGCACTACATAAACTGTATTCTGTGTTTTTCTAGTGACCTAAAAACAGAAGTGTTACCTCACTCGCAGGAAGTGAGGTCAGAGACATCCTCCAATCCGAGTTCACCAGAAATCTGCCCAAACAAAGAAAGGTGGGTTTCATTGTGGCGTTCCAGCTCCTCAGGTACAGCAGATGTGAGTGCAGTGTTGGAGTGTTTTGACATCATTTGATGAATCCGATTTGTTGTCGGGCTTCATTTTTAAATCCTTTTCCAGCATCTTCACTTTTAGCAATGTATGTGACAGGGTATTCCTGCCTCCTTCATTGTTCTTCAGTAAACAAAAAACTGTGGATCTCTTTTGTGTAATCTCTGTCCTGTTGGTTTGGTCCTGCAGGCCATTTGTGAAGCTGAAAGAGTGTAGCGGCAGAGCTAATATCTCTATCTCCCGATCCTCCTCCAGCACCAGCAGCTTCAGCAGCACAGCAGGGGAGGGAGACGGACTGGAGGAGCTGGAAATGGTGACACACACTTATACATACAGACAAAAGAGTTCTGTTGACCTTTCAGGAGATTCAAGAGTGCACTGCAAAAAACTGTATTTTTGACCTCTTTTCTATTCAAGTATCTCCTTAAACCAAGTACAAGCGACACGGCATAAGATCTTAATATGTAATATATATATATATATATATATATTAATATATACACATTTATTTATCTATCATAATATGATAAATTCTGTGAAAATATTGTGAAATATTTCTACAATTTAAAAGAATGGTTTTCTATTTTAATATATTTTAAAATATGATTTATTCCTGTGGTGGAAAAGATGAATTTTCAGCAGCCATCACTCAGTGTCACGGTGTCACGTGAACCTTCAGGAATCATTCTAATATGCTGATTTATCAGCATTGTTGGAAACAGTTGTGCTGCTTAATATTTTTTTTGTAACGTTATACTTTTTTCAGGATTCTTTGATGAATTAAAGTTAAAAAGAACAGCATTTATTCAAAAACAAATCTTTTGTAACAATAAAAGTCTTTACTATCTCTTTTTATCAAGTTATCATATCCTTGCTGAATAAAAGTATTAATTTCTTTCAAAAAAAAAGTACTGACCCCAAACTTTTGAACGGCAGTGTATATTGTTACAAAATATTTTTTTTTGTAAAAAGATATATCTTGGTGATACACACTGCAAAAATATAGTTCCCTTTCATGGGAACTTCGAACTGCGTCCTCTAGGGGTCGCTATGGGGAACGCCTCGTCGTGAACCGTGTCTGAAGCATATGTACATTGAAAAAACACCAACTCGTTGGCCGGCGACAGCCATGACGTCACTACAGGTGCGACTACAGTATAAATCGGCGCCGGGAGCTACACATCATTCTCTTCTTCGTCTTCATTGACTGTTCTGTTTGAAGCGTGCATTTCCAAGGAAAAAGTAAGAGCTATCTCTATTTATTATGGCGAGCACTAGTAGAGCATTTAGAAGGTGTGTGCATCCGTGTCATCGCTATTTGACACTAGATGACACACGATCTATGTGTTGTTTGTTTGGGTGAGGAGCACGCACGCGATGTCCTCGAGGGGGCAATCTGCGTGCATTGCGAGTTTTTTCCAATGAAAAAGCTCTGTTCTCGTTTGTCTCTCTTTTCAAGTAAAGAGGGGCAGCCATCTGCTTCCCGCGGTTCAGGACCTGCTGCTGCTGAGGCACGGAGGAAAATGAGCTCGTGGGGATCTCAGGTGGACCTGGCCGATGAGTTTAAAGAGGGGCTTTCCCTCTTGCGCTCATCGGCGGCGGGCGAGAGACAGCTGCTGGAGGATGATGTTCT